GGATGAAATTTGGCACCTGGAGCCCCGTGTTTGCTGCACCCTGAGGAAAAACAACATCCCCGTGCCTCAAAAAATGGGATCTGATCGGATCCAGGGAACGGGAACTCCCCACGTTCTCCTCAACCTGCCTCCTTCCTGATCTTTTAGCGTTCGGAAACTCTTCCGAGCGCCAAAACCACCTGTGAGGTCTAGTCCAAGGGGGATTGGGATCCCAAATCCCAATGGATTTGGAAGACAAGGTCCCTCAATATCCCTTTCCCAAAGTTTTCCAGCTTTCACCCCTGGGAAAGGGAGTGGAGAAGAGCTGGGGGTGCTGCAGGAAGAGCTCCGTGCTGCCTTGCGCTGTATCCCGTTGCTTCCTATGGATTGCTGGGATACACAGAGTTGGGTGGACAGTACCTAGCTTAAAATGGGTTTAAAATGCCCCGGATATGGTTAACAGGTGGGAAAAGCCGTGTTTTTTGGGAGAACATTCCACAAAACGTGATTCCCAGTGGTTGGTACAGGGAGAAAGAGGGAAAAAAGAGGGAAAAAACGTGGATGCAGATGTTTGGTGGCAGGAAAAAGCATCCCGGGGTCAGGAACAGGGTGACGCCGACCATCTGGCCCTGGGTGGGGAACTGATTCCAGCTGGTCCATCCCTCCCTTGTCATTCTGGGAGGGAATTTGGCTTTTTCCCCCCTTGCAAAATTCCCTCCTTATGGAAATCCCCCGGACCTGCCCGGGTTGCGATCCATCTCTCCTCAGGGATTGCTGAAACGCCCCTGAAATCGAGAAGGGGACCCCAAAACAGGCACAACCGGTGGGAACGGCCGGGCTTCCGCTGCCAGCTCCCTATGGATTAGCACCTTCCGTACTTATCTCTCCGGAAATGGGAAGGATTTTGCCTCGCGGAGAGCCCGGAAGCGCAAAACATTCCGGCTCTGGTGCCTTTAAGCCGCTCCGTGCCTCGGTTTCTCCCACCTGGGAGCTGTGCCCCCGCCGATTGGCTCTTGGGCCCCCGTTTCTTGGGAACGTTTACACCCGATAAATCCATAAAATTAAATTGGAATGAGCTCCCGCCGTTTCCAAGCTGCGATTTAAAGCTGGGGTTTCCCGGCTTCATCCCAGATGATTTTCCTCCCTCTTTGCAGCTGCCTTTTCCCAGTTCTCTTCCACCACAGGCTGCAGAAAACCATGGGAGCACCCTGAAGATCCCTAATAATTTAGGGAGCCTCAAAGATCCGGCATCACTCCGAGTGTCTCCGGGAGTATCCGGTGTCAGCGCTGCGATATCCACCCCCTTCTCCCAGTTTGTTTTAACTCATTTCTCACATCCCGACATAAAAATGGGTTTCCTGCCGGCAGCAGGGACTTACGCTCCTGGATTTCCTCAGAGATGAGCGGAGCAGCCCGGAAGCACCGCAGGATTTTTCCAACCAATCCGTAAAACAGCAGGAGGTGATTCAACCCGGACAGCCAAATTCACTCTGGTGACACCAACGGATCCAGTGAAAAACACTCCGGAAAGGGAGCAAACGAAGCCGGTGGCTCCCGACTCTTTTCCCAGCGTCTTTCCGAGTGTCCTCTCGGTCCCGCAGCCGCTTCCCTGTGCTGCTCCGGGGGATTTTGAAACGGGTGAATTTCCCCGGGGCGTCGCCCTTGTTAAAATCCCACGTCCTTGTTTAGCTCCGATTTGTCACCTCCGGTTGCGCAAGGTCCCCGCAGGGTCACGGCGGTGACAGCGCCTGCCTCCAGCTTGCTGCTTTTCCCCCTTTTTTTGGGGGAAATCCCAAGGCAGGAATCTCCGGTGCTTGCGTGAGGCTTCGAGGTGACGACTCAAATCAGCTGAAGGGAGGAAAATAAAATCACCCAGGTAAAAATATTGCCTAAAAACACATGGGAAAAGAGGAGCGGGGGAGACTTGTGCCAGTGGATTCGTAAACAAGGAAAAAAAGGAAAATTTGGGATGAGATTCCTCATTTGAGGCTCTTTCTGCAGCCACGAGATGGTTGCATGTGTCCTGGGGAAAAAAAAGCTTCGACTGTGGAGAAAACTGGGATATTTGGGAATGGAGAGCACAGCCCCTTCCCGAGACAATGGGAAAGGCAAACTTTTGGAATCTCTTGTAGGAGCTTTGCTGGATCCGTGTGGAGAAACATCCAGTGGCCTCTGATCCGGGAAGAGCTACACTCCGAAATGGCAAGAAAAAACAGGGAAAAGCTCCTGGCGGGATCCCAGTCCGGAGTGGAAGGACTGGGAAAGGAGCAGGATGCTGCTGCGTGAGTTTGGAGCGGCTCTTTTCCCAGCTGGAGTGTCCAGTGCTCTCAGTGCCTCCTTTTCCGGCTTGGGAAAACATGGATAAGGGGAGAGGAGGAGAGGGTGACAACTGTGGTCCTGGTCTGCAAATCCATCGCTTCCCGGCCTCCGTTTCCCGCTTCTCCGATGGGCACCTGCCTTTTCCCGAGTGGATGGGCGGATCTCTTTCTCCGATTCCCAAAATCCTTTCCCTGAAAAAACTCCGGGAGCCCAAAATGGCAGGAACAAAAAGCAGGAACGGCGACGCAAGCCAAGCCCTTCCCAGGGAAGAGCTGGGAATTCCCTCTGCAGCAGGCAGAGCCTTTAATCACCGGCTCCGACTTTCTCCCCGTCTTCCTTGGAAGCGGAAGGAGCCGCTCGGGAACAGGTCAGAGGTTGCTCCACTATTCCCATATCGGAGTCAAAGTCTGTGCCGGGATAATATCCTTGGCGCTTTCCCAGACGCGTTGACGCTGCTGTGGCTCCGAATCCAAAGGGCCCGGGGCCCTTTTCCATCTCGCTCCGGCCAGACAGGATCCAGGAGCGAGACTGCAATTCCAAGGATGTCGATGCAGCAAATTTGATCCCCGGCTGGGTCGAAACTTCACAGCCGGGTGCTAAAATTACCTGGATCCGTAGCCGGATCGGTTTGAAATGGGATTGGGAAGCGACAGGATCGGCTCCTGCTTCCGCCCCTTGTGAGGGAAAACACAAAGCGCCCGGCCCGGCTCTTGGCCGCTTCCCGCATGTATCCGCCGGGAAAGGCGC